AGAGAAGAGAAGGAAGATTCAATATCCAGAAAAATCTGTTTATGAAATCATAATTTAATTTCTTTACCAAATCTCATTGTGCAGCACTAGATTTTTCTTCAGCTCAAGCAGCAAAAGCCTTTCCAGTACACCACTGCAATGCAGCATATGGGAAGGAGCATTTAAAACCAGCTACATCTATAAACACACTCATATTTCACAGGAGCAGCATACAGCATAATCTCTTTAAATGCCCTTATGATTTTGTTTTAATACAGTTCTGGAAGCACAAATTGTTAATTAAAATGGTTTTCACCACTTCCTAGAATGATAAATGAGTCAAAAACTTTTTTGGCGGCGAGTCCCAGGGATGACCACAATTGTTCTTTTTTAAAAACACTTCCCTTAATCTGATTTTTAGCAAATCCACAGCTCTTTACTGTGTCTCTCGTCCTCCACTGCCACCAGGGACAGACAAATCTTCATCCCATGTGAACTCCATTTGGAACAGGTCCTGCTGATATCTTGCTAAATGCCATTTTACAGCCATCAGACACCAAGACACCATTACCTTGTCAGCCTAATTGGACTTAACTCCTACTGGGACCAGACTAAAAGCAAGGGGAACGAAACCCCAACCAACAATTCAACTGCTGTCTGCAGCTCCTGCCACTTTCTAGCCCTGAATTTCTACTACACCTCCATCTCTGGCAGTTCCTCCAGGCTGGAGGACCACCAACCTCCACGCAGCAGGTTCCTGTCTCCTGCTGCTGCAGCACCACAACTGGTCCCAAGCACAACCCAGGAACCGAAGCCCCTGGCAGTCTTGTCTGTTGTTCAGGTTGCAGACTCCTGGGGGAACGTCACAGCCTAAACACACCAGAGCCTCTAAGACCTGCTGGACTGCAAAAGCTTATCACGAGGGCCATTTCCTGAAGCCTTTCAAGCCTAAATGTAGGTCATTCCCCCTCTGACTCACTGACTTCTCTCAGAACTTCGCACGCATCCTGTGCTCTTGAGCGTTTGATGCCTCAGACACTTCAGAGGTCCTGTCTTCTGCATAATTTAATATTTGATTATACTAAAAGAAAGCACACATTGTCTTGAAAAACAGAAAATACATCATCTAGAGGTTTCTCTAATGCCAAGAGAAAATTAATCTTTCATGGCACAGTGGAGTAAGAAGACAATCCCAAAAGTATGTAATTAAAGAGTCATTCTCTAAATGGGATACTTTGTTTCTTACAAGTCTTGTTTGAATTGTTTTGGAAGCAGAGCAGTTAATTTAGAGCTAGCATTTGGCAAAGAGCTGCTTGAGGGGGAAGCTCTTCTAGAAAGAAAGAGACCCTGCTGTTGTGTCTAATGTTTGTAAACATGGGCGAAAGTTATGCTGCATGGATATGGAGTCAGAACAGTACAATGGAACAGGAGAGAGGGAAAGGAAGCTTCTTGGAGACATTTCCCTCATTCAGATAACGGTCCTTGTTCAGCATTAGGTAAGAATTTTTCTGCAAGTATTGTTGGTTTTTTTTCAAGCTGCTATCAAATGACACAGTCCAACCAACCTGCAGAGATGAGACAGTGTTTTCCAAGGTGACTGAGACACAGAATACGTGAATGCTATATCTCAGCATTTCAGAAATGGGAAATCCCATGTGAGGTTTTCATTTGAGAGGTTATCTGTGATTCCAGTTCCCTTGAATTGCAGTGAGGAACGACCCACCAACCAGAAAACTGCTGGGTAGTGTACACAAGAGCAAGGAGTGCAGCAGTGCCTGCTGAAAAGACTCCAGCTGGATAACCACTAACTCTAAGGTGGGAAGTGATTACATGTCCTAGCATGGAAACTTGATAAGCCAACCTGAGCAGTCCATAAAGAATATTGACAGCCTCTATTCAGCTAACAGCCAAAATTTAGAAAAGGATGTTGCAGCTTAGTCTCCCACTAAAATGACACTACAAACCATAGCAAGACAGCTGGATGGTTCTTGTTCTTTGCTTTACAGCTGCTGGGCAGCAACTCCCTGTGAAAACACTTAAAATAGGAATATGATGTGGATCTGAAAGTGGGAAAACAACTCAGTTTGTGTTTGCTCTGGCTCTGTAACACAAGATCAGTGTTGGACACTGAACAACTTAATCCTGTTCCAACACACACCACCCACCCTGTCCAAGCTCTCCCACAGGTGAGCAGCTGTCAGACACAGCTACTAGCCCATGAACATGTGAGATTCAGCTGTAGCAGGAGATGGCAAAAGCCAGTCATGCACCTCTCAACTTTAACAAGGCCCAAAAGATCTGCAGAGGATGTACCAGTCTCTTTTGGACACTGTCCATCAGCCATTAAAAGATAATCCAATAAATAACGCATTTATTACAAAAGCACCAGGGACCTCTTACCTCAAAAATCGCTGACAGAATTTTACTCCTGGCAGGTCCCTCCCAGCCCCACAGGTCTGCTAGGAATAGATTAACCCCTTTTTCAGAACTCAACCTTTATTGTGATGCTGTCACTTTTAACTCACAGCAGGACTAAATAGCCTCATGCTCACCAAGAATCCCCAGCTCCTCACTCTTTTGGGTTCACCAGAATCTCCAGTGTAGCCCAACATTGCCAGCAAGCCTATCACACAGCACTGTGGGCCTCAAAATAACCACACAAGGACAGATGAGAAAAAACATTCACAGACTCAGGATAACCAAAATACTGTCTCTGAAATGGTTGACCAATACATTCTTACTCGGTCCATCACATATCCTTCCAGTTAGTTTTGTTGGCCACTGTTAAAGAAATCCCAGAGAACTATATGGATCAGTGAAAAAATATTATTTCCTTTTTTAAATTCACCTGAAGTTAGAAGCACAAGTGCTTTGATAAATGGATTGACATCTCAAATAAACTCTGGTGAAACTGGGTAAGTGCTATTCCATACTTTTCTGAAGGGTTATGCAACTTGAAGGCTACTTCTTAGGCAGAACTGTTCTCCAGAAGAAAAACTCTTGGGTAGCTGAATATTTTAGACTCTAACCTCAGACATTTTCTGTGATCTGAAGGTTTCTTAGGAAGAAAAGAAAATCAAAGTCAGGACTGTACATTTCTTGCTGAATCTTAATGAGCCAATTTAGAATTCAGGAACATGAGAAGGGTAGTCCCTGAAGCCCAAATGAAAGCAACTTTGGATTTAGAAAAGATTTTGATTAGATTTTCCATACAGATTTAAAATTACTTGCATAATGCAAAGAATATGCCAGGGTATAACGCAATGATTGTCAGCGATGGCAGGCTAGCAAACTGAGTCACTGGATGCTGAAGTGCTCTAGGGAATTTAGGGCCAAGCTGAAGAAAACAATATGCCTGCTTTAAACCATCATGTAACTGAGCTAAAGAACACTGTGGCAAAACTGTACAGGAGCAACATGGCTTTTCCCCTCTCAGAAGCTGACAGTTCATGGCATTGCACAGCAGTTCCTTAGGCTGCAACACAGAAAAGCTGCTTACGAGTGACTGAGGAAGAGGTTGTTAAAAAAGTTTCTAAGCTTGCCTAGAGACCTGCAATAGCTCAAATACCCCAGTGAGACAGTCCTTGAGCTCACTAGAGCATTTTGTTGATTAGGAATCCAAGCAGCTTTCCTGATGAGTGCAGTGAAGAATGGCTAAACGAACTATGTACCTGAGACTACCTGTACTAGCCACTGAGAGCAAACTGCTGCAGAGCCAGGCAGTAATTCTGGCGGGTGGGGCTGGGTGTATGCAGACTGTGCTCTGCACTCCAAAGTTCCTCTCCTGATGTTTCTTCACTTACCTCAAGCCAATTAAATAATCCATATCATTTTTTATTTTTTCTCCAGCTGTATTATCACACTAGAATATCCTTGCTATGTTTGTGAGAGATCTATTGTTTTAATGACAATTTTGTCTCTGTAACCATGGAGAGTAAATCCTACCATTTCCAATACACCTCAAATTTCTTTTCAGTATTATACGCAGTGGGCAACAAAAATCACTCTTCAGATTGCTGGATCAGCTCATCCATCTGCCCAAAGGATATCCAAAGAGTATAATCAATTTACAGAAACTCAGAACAGGTTTCTACAATATAAGTTATTTGAAGGTGTAGCTACATGGGAGTAGGGCACAGAGGAACTTAGAGGTGTTACATTTTCCAGTTTTACAGATCCATTGCAGTATCACTCTGCTGTTGTTTCACAACTTGTGATGATACCTACTTGTTTAAAACCTCACAATTCGATGGTAAATCAATCTATTTTTACTTTTAAACTCAGTTATTGAGGGAAAATATCTTGGGAATTCTAAAAAAAGTTACTTTTCTTAGGGAAAAGATGCTTAATTTAATCACAGAACTTTATAAAGAGATTACATTACTGTGAAGACGTTTGGAAAGATCACCTCCTTTGGATCAACAGAACAGAACACTGCTGAAATTTATTTTTTTTTAACATCTGAATAGATTTCAACTTAGTTATTAAATTGCTAAGGCTGAAAGAAACCCTAGAGATCTTATCTTTAAAAGGTCAGATTTTTTTTTTCCCCTGTACTTAAATGAAATCATACACTACAACCACACTTAGAAGTGTAAAGACCTACCATTAACCTTTAAAAATAGTTTCTGGATGAGTTTAACAACACAAAATCCCACCTTAAACTATTGCACTGTGAAGATCAATTGAGAAAACAAACAAACTATGAGTATGTAACCACACAACCCAGGCAAATTTCCAGTGTGTGGGAATTAACATTTAAGGAGTTTGTTAATTTAATGTATGAGTCAGCACACAGCCAGTGTCAAGACCTGAAGCATTTCCACTGAAAGCAGTTAAGACTCCTGTGGGTCTCAAGTTAAACAGTTCACTAACAGACTAAGTCAGGACCACAGTAGTTTGGTGGGTTAAATTCACAGCAATAAAACTTTCTTTACAATATCTAATTCTGAGCCTGATCTGGCTCCAAACAGTAAAGCACATTAACTGATAGAAACCACAAATCTCCAAACTGCTTTTTTTTTTCCTTCCCATTTTATTTCTCTTTTCTGTTCCAGAGTTAGGTAATGAGCTGAGCACAGGAACAGTGACCCATGAATTGCATAACAAAGACTGTATTACAAGGAAAGATTTGCACATTTTCTCCTTCCCCAAAATGTTCAATAAGCTGGATAACTTACAGAAACCAGTTCTAAATCACAATCAGAATTATATACAGAAATGATTAACAGAAGCTGCAGTGGTTCTGCATGGTCCTAACAGATCTGGTGTCACAGACTGGCATGGACAACTAGGGGACTGCTATTTCTTCATCTCCAGGATTGCACTTCCTGGCCCTCGGTGTTTGGCACTGCATATGTTGCAGAACTGGACAGAGGATACCTGGAAATGAAAAAGAAAACAAGGAGCTCTTAGAGAAAGGTAGCCACATTAGAATGTGGGAAGATGACTGAGTAGTCCTAATGCCCTTCCCAACATTACTGCTCACAGCCAGGCTGTCCCCTGCCAACGTATGGGCAGGGGTAGGAAGGTGGTATGGAGGAACAGAACACAGCAGGCTCTTCTGGGGTCAGAGACCACTCCAAGTACATCAACACCACCCTCCAGGAGGGTAAGGTCAAACTTCCTCCACAATAAAAAAGAAAAACAGGGAGTCAAAAGTATCACTGATTATCTTCACAGATAAGTCAGATCACAGATCAGCTCCACTAACTGCTGGATGTCTCAGTCACAGCTTGTTCTTTGGGTATTGCTCCACACATTTCCAAAACCTGATAATATGGCTTAAATATAATCCATCTGATATCAAATATGTGTTTATTGTCACTCCTGTGTATAGTTCTGCACGATGCTTTATGCAAGCATTACTTGCCTTCCAGTATGTCACCAGCAGCCCAATATCAGTACCAATCGATTACCTAAGGCCAAAAAATGCTACAGCAGTGGAGAATTTGGCTCAGATATGTGCAGATACCTGTAAATTCACAGGTACTATGGAGTATTTATAACATAATATCCGTGTGATACCTAAAAATCCCATCTGACAAGCTACCTGTCCCAAAAAGATCAAGAATGCTACACGTTATATTACTTCTCAAACAACAACATTTGTGGTAAATATTGTTTGAATAAATATTTACTAGTTGTTGGACTTTCTCTGCAAATGATCTACTTCATTAAGATTTTCAGAACACATTTAAGTATACATGCTGCACCATATGGCTACAAGCACTTTGCTTGGTTACTTGCAGTTTAAGTGATTCACCCAAGTTATTTTTTCACTAGCTGTTCATTTTCAGAGACAGATACAGAATCAGAAAAGCTTAAACTCCACTTTCTTTGCAATTTTTTTACCATTCTGGTGCTTTCATTCCTAAATTAAAAACTGGTTTTACATAGAAGTTACTTTTTTTGTTTGTTTACATTGGAAAAAAACAGGAAAAAAAAGATTCTCTTGATAAAGGAAAATGTGATCTGAACATAAAGATGATTACAAAGATATTTAAATATTCACTCTGAGAGTTTTTTTTTTCTTCCATGGCAGAATCACTTAATATGGTTCACATAAGAAAATTTATTCATTCTTTTCTTTAATTGGACATACTTGAAGTGAGAACTGCAATGGAAAAGAATGAACAAAAATATCAGACAAGTTGTAATCCCTGTATGTCTCAATGCTGCATTGCTTATTCAGGTTGCAGAAAGTGATAAAATACTTCTCAAACAGGAGTGATTTCTAAGTTGGATGAACTTTAGCTGCAGTGACCCTAAACTCCCTTTCCTTAGCCACATACTACCATGGGGTGTCATCACTAACAATTATTGCAGTCACAGTATAACTCCTGACAGCCTCACACCCTTCTCCACAGCTGACCAAATAAAACCACTTGTCCTCTTCTCTTTGGCAAAGGTGTCAGGAGGACAAAGCCAGCTCCTTACTGTGTTAGATACTGGGAGGCACTCCTTGTGAAACATGTGTCTGCAGTGGAACACGACCACGTTGAAGGACTTGGATGCATCTGGGAAAGAGAAAAGTGAATTCTTTTCAACAGGGCAATGAAATAAATGATTCAGCAGCCACAGCAGTATATGGCTGCATTCTGTTAGACACATAGAAACACCAAGTAACATCTCTCAAAATAATTTGCAAAGTAAAACCATATAGAACCCATAGTGATGGTTTCAGGTGATGTGTCCCAATGATGGAGTTAGAAGACTTTTATTCTGTAGCTTAAATGCTATATACCTTTTCACCAGAAATTTTTTATGTCAATATGGGTGTTAAATTTGGGGAGGGAGAAGAGTAAACTACCACCATTTTGAAGAGAAGGTAGCAAAATAACTCCTGCCCTAGTGTGGGGAGAAGCAGACCAGGAAGCAGCTCTAGGACCTACACTGCATGCCATGATGTGGAAATTTGGCAAGAGGCTGCCTGAGTGTGCATGGGCCCTTTGACTCCCACATGAATTTCTAGCCCAGCTAGAAGCTGACACACAACATCCACACACCCAAAGAATAACCATCTCACCAATCACCATCATCCACATTCAACTCCTTGGTCCATAAATATAATTGTCCTACCTGTTCTTGTGTGAAGATGCCACGACAGACTTCTCCTAGTAAAACTATTTCTTCTTCAGATGCCCAACCACTATATTGGTATTCCTGAACCAGAGCTGCCTTGCAGCATGTACATCTTCAAAATAATATCCTGAATTTCTAGTTTCAAAACTAACTTTAGGAGGTGTTTTAACACCACAGTCTGTTTTAAGTTGTTTCAAATATGACAGCAGTGACTGAAGCCAAAATTTTTCCACCACTAAGACAAAAAGTATATTCCATATAACTTTATAATCTAACAAGTTCAGTTTAAAGTATTCAGAAATGGACAAGATTGGTGGCAACATCTTAAGTTTTATGGTTCTAATAATCTTTGAGAATACTTATGTTGATTGAATTAAGTTGCCTCCCATGCCTTTCAAAAAAGAAAATAAGGAAGTTGAAGATGAATAAAAAAGAAAATCTGGGTTTACTGCAATAAAAGAAGATCAAATTAGACTCCACTTCCATATGTGAATCCATAAGCAAGCTTTGCACAGGAGACTGAAATTATACAGTGATTACCAAGGAGACCACTACACATTTCTATGAATAAAAGCAAACAAAAGTTCCTCTACAAATAAATAATAAATAGACAACTTTTCTTTTCTAGAAGAGCATCCTACCTGAAGGAAGTATTGGAGACAGGCATGATTCACAGATATTCTCCTCTAGAAAAAAAACAAACCAAACCAAACTTTTAACAGCTTTGTTAACAAACTCCGTGTTTACTTTTTTATGAAGCAGGCACAAACTTACTGCTACTATAGAAATGGAGCTTGCTCTAAAAGTAATTCTTAAGATGCTTTACAGAGTCTATTAAAAATTGAAGAGCAATACTGAAGCAGCATTTCTATTAACAGCATGAGAAATTCTTGGTTCTGATGCTGATGATGGCAGAACTGCAGGAGTGAGACTGTTTAGGATCAGGACTGTAGAAGCACAAGGTAAACTGATAAAAAAGAAGCACAGGATGGGTGCCTGATATCTCTGCAGCATTTTGTAGCAGAAGCTCTGATCCTTTGTCTTCCTGTCAGATTTTGCCTCTTGGCATTGACACTCATCTGGTGCCAATTACAGCACTGCTCACATGCATCATTAGCACCTTGCAAAATATTTTCAATGTTTTCTGCAAAGTATCTTGTAGCTTTTGCTTTGGTTGAAGATTATTATCATCTGACTACCTGTGTTGGCACTGAACAGCATTTTTCCTCTCTAGAGGCAAGCTGCAGGACACAATACCTTACTGGCTGTGCAGAGATGGATCAAGAGAAAAAGCTGCATGCTGGCTGTCTTGTAGTTTTTGAGATATGAGTAGCTCCTTTGCAAAGGGGTAAGCAGCTAGTATCCTACTACACTCTAGAAATAAGGTACAACACTCAGGCTTTTGGGGAGCTTTCACAGCAGACAGTCATGTGGCTTGGGTAAATCAAGTGAAAGACTTCAAAACCTTGGAAGTCACCACGGTTCCTCTGTACCCACCGTCCACTAGAACACCCTTCATCTGAGTTCGGTGCATTTTCTTCAGCAAAGAAAGAGAATCAGCAACAAGTATCTTTTTGCAGCCTTCCCTCAGCAAGATCTGTGGATACAAACAACACAAAATACAGTGGTTGTTGAGTAGAGGGGCAGATCAACTATCTTGGCAAGTCTCCACTGGGTTTCTGCTGCCAAAGACAGTGCAAGGAACATTCAAGAGATTATCAAAGATGAAAAGGAGGAACCTGCTGTTAACACCACCTCTACCTAAATGAAAAAAAAATTATGAAAACCAACAACACCACCTCCTAAAAATAAATAAATGAATTTCCTTTACAAATATACTATTGTCATAAATTATGATCTTCTTCCTATGAGCTTGTCGTAACAAAATACAATGGAGAGGGATTTTTACGGTTTCCCTCACAACTGGTTTCCAAACCATTTCAAAACAACTTCTACCCATCTCTTTCCTTTCTTCTTTAGGAAAGGAAACAACATAAATCATAAAACCTTCATTAACCTTAACAATCATAAAACCTTCATAAACACAGTAATTCCAACCTTATTTTGCTCAAACAGATTTCCTGCTAAGGTGTCATTTATCAAGCTGTATTAAATGTCTGTACAACTAATCAAAGGTCCGGAGTTCTTTCCTCTTCAGCAAAAGCTTCAGCCCCTTTATACTCATGAAATATTTTTCATTAGATTGACATGTTGTTGCCTGATAATGTTGTGAAGCACAAAAAGGATCACGGTTGTCAAAATGACACAGTCTTATTTCATAATACTTAATGAAGCAAGTATGAAAATATGACAAACCCAAATAACACTTGTGGAATTTTTAACCCTCCTCCCAGACTGACGTTTGGAAATGTGTGTTTTCCAAGACAACACTTCCTCTGAAAAGTGCTTTAAAGAGGGGCTCACAGTCAATTCTAAGCTGAACAATACTATCAAAAAAGCAGTATAAAGAGGCAACATCCATTCCTTTCTCTTATTTGCATTACAGGAGGCACTGAGCATTCTAAAATAGTCCAAGATACAGCTAATGCAAATAACTAAAAAGAAGTATACTGAAAGATGTTACAGCAAGGTGAACACTGTCCCAAACCCTGTCTTCTCACACACAGGCTGTGAAGCGATAAGGACACCCTGCCAAGAATGATATGCAGGTAAGTCTGCAAATCTGAAATACATCACAAAAATCAAAACTGAGGAACACCTGGTGCATTTCAAAAGGGGCATGTCAATGAGTAAATGAGTAAGTGACATTCTCCAGTATTAGACACATGGAGCTATAAAACATTCCAGAGCACCAGAAACTGAACGCAGCTCTACAGGCCAAATACTTGGCAAATTAATCATTTTTATATGTGATAATTCCAGAAACTGAGTATGTCTTCCCCCTTCCCACGTTATCCAAGGGCAACTGGAAATGTTAGATTTTGGTTTAAATATAGAAAAATATCACTAGCTTAGAAAGACCTATTAGAAACTTTTTGCAAGGACAATTGAATGAGATGATATTTCAGAATGAGTGCTTGCCTGGTTCAAAACATTCTCAATCAGCAAATTATATCCCAAAGACAGGTAAATAACTTAAAGCAGTTGAGGTCTTGGCTATATACTGGAGTCTTTGCTAGCTGCACTCAGCATAAACAGATGCAACATCTCATGTTTAAGTAAAAGGAGCAAAGCAGACATGTTAAATGAGAGAGGTGGAACAGAGATACAATAGGAAGGACAATGACTATTTTCTATTTAAAATGCAATGTGGCAATTTTAAATATTCTTTTAAAAAAAAGAAAAATAAAGAGGGAAACAGTAGACATCATCAGGTCACTAGAAAGCCTCAATACTGTCAGTGCCTTAAAACACAGAAATAATAGAAATACCTTATAAGGCATAACTTATAAGACACATGCACTCTCTT